CTAGGATCCTTGCGTAATTCCCAGGTCTGTCGAGGTGTTGCAGGATGTAATGCAGTTCCATGTTGACTGCATCATCCACAGATCTGTTTGCTCTGTAGGCAAACTAAAGAGGATCCAGCAATTTACTTACAGGCTGTGAGTCAGAAGTGCCAGACTGTCCTTGCAAAGTTGGAACTGCCCCACTTTATAGAACAGCCTTCTTAACTTTTATAAAGAATATCTCTTTGGATTTGAGACTTTAGTCTTTGCAACTTTACAGATCTTCTTTATGCACCATTGAATTCGTTTTAACATTGCACCACTGCTGTCATTTCATAAGTGAAGAATTTTACAACCCTAACATTGTATATTTCTGTGAAGCTGCTTTTAACAAACAATCTGTATTGTATATAGCGCTATAGAAATACAGGTGACTTGACATTGAATTGCAGGTTGTAGTAATAAAAAAATTTAAGTTTTGAAAAATCAGAGTGGTGGTTGTATCTCTTAAATGACATTGCCATCTTGTTTTGTAGTCATTTGAAGACCTGGTCCACAAGCCTCTCTTAGTTGATCTCACTGTAGAAGAGGGTCAAAGATTAAAGGTCATCTATGGCTCCTGCTCTGGTTTTCATGCTGTAGATGTGGATTCAGGGGCAGTTTATGACATCTACCTTCCCACACATGTAAGCTCTTTTAGGACTTTGACTACTGAATTAAGTATTGTCAGATGCTCTTTTTTATTCCAGCTTTTAACATTGTGATATTTACAGTTTTAGATTATTTGAAGGACCAGTCATGCTTTCTATAATCACTTTAATCAAATACTTTGCACTTTTTTTTTTCTCAGATTCAAACGAGTATCCAGACCCATGCCATCATCATCCTCCCAAACACAGAAGGCATTGAGCTGTTGGTGTGCTATGAGGATGAAGGTGTGTATGTAAACACTTATGGAAGGATCACCAAAGACGTGGTGCTGCAGTGGGGTGAGATGCCCACCTCTGTGGGTAAGTTGAACATTTGTTCCACTTCAGATTGCAGAAAACATGCTCTTTTCTTGTTTCCTAGTGGAAAACAAGAGTCCAGTGGTGGATGAAGTACATAATTTGCTTGAGTACAGCTAATGAAATATTAAATAGAAACTTTGCATACCATCAGTCAAATCCTCTTCATGCTCAAATCATATTTCTCCCACTTCTTGGCTCATTACTTGGCTCGTTAACTGGAGACTTACTCCATCTGAAACATTGAATCAATGAGTTGTGACAGCATACAGATACCTGTTCACAGTTTGTCATAATCCATATGCTCGACTCGGCTGACAACAGGACAAATGGGAGAGTAACGTTTTTAGTAATGTGGCTATGACGCATTCAATTTAAATAGCTTGTTTGCTTCTCAGTACAGCCTTCAGAAGGATCCCAGGATCAGGAACAAGTGGATTGTTTATTTTTAATAGTTCCCAGGTTGACGGCAGCTCACCACAATATACTTGTGAGGACCAAATGTCCTCACTTATATTTTGAAATACTTTGACAACCCACTAGTGATCACATTTTACTGGTCCTCACTAGTTAAAGGGCTTATAAATCAGCCAAAAGGTGTTTGTATTTAAATCGAATGTTCTTCACATGTTTCTGTGTTGGTGAGTTTAGGGGTAGGGGTTGGGTTAGGTGATAGAAAATATCATTAACCTGATAGAAAATTAATGAAAGTCTATGCAGTGTCCTCACTAAGATAGTGAAACAAACATCTGGTGTGTGTGTACAGTGGTGTGAAAAAGTGTTGGCCCCCTTGTCCTGTGACAAACGTTTTTTTGCATGTTTGTCACACTTTAATGTTTCAGATCATCAAACAAATTTAAATATTAGTCAAAGATAACTTCCTTTTTCTGACTTATCGACTTTCTGACTTTCTGACTGAATATATCAGTTAATTGAACCTTAATTGTGATTATGAACTCTTCTGCATCTTTTTGTAGCTTACATCAGATCGAACCAGATCATGGGCTGGGGGGAGAAAGCTATTGAGATCCGTTCTGTGGAGACTGGTCACCTGGATGGTGTGTTCATGCACAAGAGGGCACAACGGTTGAAGTTTCTCTGTGAAAGAAATGACAAGGTTAGACATCCACACAAAATTAAAAAAAAAAAAAGATTATGGCATACCTTATGGTACCAAAAAAAGTTAAGTAGGGCAGTGACGGCAGCCATGACAACCACGTCACCACGGTAGTCGATTACCACCGGCGGCAATGCACGTGATGTCACACACTCTATAACAAGTATAAAATACAAAGTTTTGTATACAAGTGCAATAATAGTAACAGTTGCAATAGAATTCACTATTTATAACATATATCATTTAGCTGTAAATTGTTTTATTTAGACTATAAGACTGTTAATTCACAAATTACCTCAAACACCATACATGGCATTTCCTTTACACTGTGTCACCACCAGACGTGAGCGGCGCGGCATGACAAAATACTATAGAACCCATTATAATCAGTGATTCTGTCTACACTGAATGTGGTGCGGCACGACAAATCCCCAACAGTAAACTGATGCCTCATTCTATTTGTGACGTACTGACACAAAGTTCAAATGGTTTTTAATGGTCATTTTGTCGCGTCCGGTGTAGACAGCCTTTAGCTGTTGTGGAGTGGCGCATTAAGTGTTAAAAGGGCAAACACTTCCAATCTCAAGAACCATCTCCAGTCGCTTTTTTCAGCGATGACCCACTTGCTTGGTGGCGGAACAATGAGGCAAGATACCCTCTCTTGGCCACGGTTGCTAAGAATGCTTTTGTGCAACAAGCACACCATCTGAACGCGTGTTCAGTGAGGCTGGAAACATCGTAACACCAATGAGGTCCTCCCTTAACCGGACAATGTCAACATCCTAGTTTTTCTGTCAAAGAATTTAAAATCTATAGAAAAGCCAAAGTAGGCTTAAAGCATATGTTTACGTTCTAATTGTTGTCAGGCCAACACAGATTTTCCAGCATGTGATTGATGTTGTTTCGAATTTTTGTCGACGAATGTTTAATATTTAACTTTCTTATTTAGGCTACTTTCTTTTTTAACTGTATTATTTATTTGATACCCTATATTTTAGTGTTTTACAGGCTGCATATTGCAGTGTTCACTGACGGAATTGTTTACTGTTTAAAAACTATGTACCTGTATATATATCCATTACCACCGCGGTGGTAAAAATCTGCCACCGTCACAGCCCTAAAGTCAAGTCACCTTTATTTATATAGCACTTTATACAATTCAGATTGTCAAAGCAGCTTACAGTATTAAACAGGAAAATAGTGTGTCAATAATGCAAGAGGATGACAGTAAACACTCAATTTTCCAGTTAATCAGTCAGTTCATCATTGATTCTGTAATGTCATCATTGTCCAGCTCAGTTCAAATATAGTATCTGTGCAATCAAGTCGACAATATTTCCAGAAATTAAGTGTCCCCAACTAAACAAGCCAAAAGTGACCATAGCAAGGGGGGAAATTTTGAAAAAGAGAAACTTTCTCCTACTTTCATGTCATTCCAAACCTGTATGACTGACTGTCTTACATGGAGTGCAGAAAGAGAGGAATATCTGCTACAGATACTCTTGCTATACCAATGCCACATTAAAATAGCAAGTGTTACATTATTTTCCTGACAGATAAAAATAGGCCTTAATTGAAAATTTACAGCTCACTTAAACTGGCTGATAAAGATTATTTGTAGCCCAGCCTTTTTAATACTGCAGTGCATTTTTTTTAGCCAAACTGTGATGCTTCATTCAGACTTTTTGAAAGATATAATTTTTGGCCATTAAAAAACATTATCAGTCGAACCAGTTGCTGCTGGCTGAAGTGATCATCTGTGTAATTCCCCGATTTGAATAATTTAATGTAATTAATTCAATAGGTGTTCTATATTCTAGAGATGTTTTATTCACCCCACAGTAAGTGAATAAAATATGCCATATTTATTTTATGGTATCCTTGTTACAGTGTAATTGTACATTTAAGTCTAAGTAATACACTGCTCAAAAAATTAACCATTTAATAATCACAGTACCACCATAACACCAAGTCAGTTAAACTTCAGGGATATCAGTCTGTACAGTTAGGAAGCTTAAGTGATTGTGAATCAGTAACACCTGCTTTGGTGCAACTCAAAGAAGCAACAGGTGCACTGGAGAGGCAACAGCAAGACAACGCCCATAAAGGGAATGGGTTTGCATGTAGTGGCCACAGACGATTGCTTTCTCCTTATCCTTTCTGACAGATTTGTATCTAGTTTTGTGTTTTGTTAGGGTCAGTACTTGTAGCATGGAGCTGTACCTGTTACCCAGTCAGGTTACACAGGTAGTCCAGCTTCCTCTAGGATAACATGCCGTCGCAAGGAGGTTTGGTGTGTCTCCCTGCGCAATCTAAAGTGCATGAAGAAGACACTGAGCCTGGCCTCAAGTGACCAGAGTGTGTAGGCAGTTTCTGGATGAGAAAGGCACTGATTCCATTGACTGGCCCTCAAATTCCTCAGATCTGAATCCAATTGAGAACCTCTGGGATGTTATGTGTCGGAGCATCCAAAGCCACCAAGCAGCACCACAGACTGTCCAGAAGCTCACTGATGCTCTGATCGAGTTCTGGCAGGAGATCTCCCCTGGAAAACCATCTGCTCATTCCATCTCATTAGGAGCATGGCTAGATGTTGTCAGGAGTGCACACAGGCATGTGGGAGCCATACATGCTAGTGACTTACATTATGAGTTGCTTTGATAAAAATTAATGCAAGTTCAATGAGCCTGTAATTTAATTTTTTTACTTTCATTTTTGGTGTGCTGTTGAATCCAGGCTTGATGATTCTGGTTTCCATTGACCAATGTCACATAATTTTATTCTCAACGAATTGTATATAAGTAAAGTTTTGAATATTTTGTTCATCAAGATCCAGTGTGTGATTTAAGTGTTCCCTTAATTTTTTTGTGCAGTGTATTAATAAACGTACTTACTATAGGGTTAGGATTAGGGATTGGTTTTAGGGTTAGTTGCATGTAATTATGCATAGTTTACTGTTATTATTATAGTAAGTTCATGTAGTGTGGAACAAAGATACTGTAAAATAGTGTTACAATTTTTGTCCTGCTGATAAAACACTCATTCAGTTTTTTTTTTTCTATGCAATTAAAAAATAAATATCCCATTGACTTTAATTGTATGTACACACCGAGACATTTTTCCTGTCCTCTATTGTGAAGAAAAAATGCATTCAGGTTTGGAATGAGGGCTGAATAAACAGTGACATTTTTTTGAGGAGGGGTAAACCTTTTATTGATTGTAAATTGTATGGCTATGTCATCTTAACATCTGCAGTCACTTTGTTTCTTTAGGTGTTCTTCGCCTCTGTGCACTCTGGAGGGGTGAGCCAAGTTTATTTCATGACTCTCGGACGGAGCAACCTACTTAACTGGTGATGAGGATGCTTTCCTCTAATGTCTTGCAGAACTCTGTGGACCCAGCATGACGAATATTAATCCTAAATGTAATTCTATTCAAGAGTCCTGTGCTGTCCTAAACACCTGCACTATTGTGGGGAAAACTCTGAGAGAATCTTATGTAAACATAAAAGACATTCTGAAAGGGAGTAGGAGCTTTATGTGGAAGAGTGTTATGCCATTTGTTATGTCCACAGCTCAATTATCGGTGATCTGCTGTATCTCTTAATGTTGTTTTGTTTTGTTTTTTGTTTGTTGAATGTTACACCTTTGAACATTTATTATAATTCAGGGCTTTGTTTGCTCAGCCTTTGTTATATCAAGGAATCGAAGGGCTGAGGATTAATACTCTAGTGTATGTAAGTGTATTTCCATGGACTGGTCATCTGTGATATCTCTGTTGTCATTTTTTATTTTTTTTTCTGGGTAACTGTTAATTCCCCAAAGACCTGAGTCACACAGTATCATTGTACTAGTGCTGGTTAATATAGGGATGCAGTTTCTTTGTTTTTCTTGAATAATATCAACTATACATTTTATGAGTGTCCTTGTTATTTTATAGGTATTGCACTTGTTAAATAAATTCCCATTAAGTATATTCCCATTGATTTTCAGAATGGATGGTTTGAGTGATGGAACATTTACAGACACGTAAATGTTCAACTTGTATTCTGTTACGCTGTTAACCACTCCCTGAGCGAACAATTAATTTTATGTTGTCCACTGACTTTAGAGTCATTAAAGTTGATACCAGAGAAGCTGCTGGACAAACAGGATTTGGAACTTTATCACTCTGTCAAAGCTATAACTGCTCTCAGCTGGTGAATCTCCAGCCATCTGATCACATTTTATCTTGTTCTGTACCATATTGGTTTGTTTGTTAAATGAAACTAAGGTATTGCACTGCTTATATTAGAATTTATTAGCAAATTACCATGCATCTTTGTAGGCATGATACTATATTTTCTGACTGTATTTGTGTATGGCTTATGGTCATAATATGGACAAATAGATAAAACACATTCAGACTGTCACAGGTTGTTTACAGGCAAAAATAGAGAGGATCAATTCACAAGTGGTATATATTGATAAAACAGTCTAGGAGTACCAACCTAACAAAGACAAGAATGGACAAATAACAGTGAAACTGAGGGCTATACTGTATATACACACAGACTAAATAAAGACTTAAACAAGACACGGGTGAATATAATCAGTTACTATAGAAACAAAAGAGAAAATGCGTAGAAACAACGGAAACAGGAACAGTGGAACAAAACGAATATCAATATTGTTTGTCTTGTTTTAAATAAACACTAAAAAAAGATTAAAAATGAAGAAATTTTAATTTTGGCACCATTTTTTCCCCCTCTCAATAGTGTTAATATGGCAACTAGTAAATACACTAAGATTTGTCATTCTAGAATGTATGAAATGTGTGTGCCCTGCTCTCCTCTCTACAGCCCAAGTTCAGTGGATTTTAAGGTTAATCTACACTGCCCCTACAAAACACAGAAACATTGATGTTTGGTCAATACAGCCCGCTTAATCCAACTGCATTCAAATGCCCACTTTAAAAGGTCAGGGCAGTGTGAATTGGTCTTTAAAGCATGATTTTATTTTTTCCTTCCTTTTTTTTTTGTTGGTAAAATCTTCGTATGAGGTCCTCAGCTAAACATCTCTTACACTGTTACACAACCTTTTTAGAATACTTTTTTTTATTAGCATTCAAGAGTAAAATTACGTCAAAGAGCTGCCTTAAAAATGTAAAATATAGTCCATAGCCTCCAGCAGTTGATCTCATGCAGACACCTGTTTACTTTTGTCCACAAAGCAGATGGTTGTCAGTTGGCTGATCCTGAGGGGGGGAGTCGGCAGCTAAAGATCAATTAGAGAGTCAGCATAAGTCATTAGCATGTCCAGTGGCCCTGGTGTTAATGTCAGTCTGGACGCTATGTATTTATCCTTTTGTTCAGTCATGTTAATTGTATGACTGATAGCTAAAAACACACTTTTTTGCATTATTTACTACTAACCAGTAGGCAATGGACATGTTCAACTGAATATTTTGAGGCCTCCTTTCTCCGCTGTCATCAGGACCTGCAGATTCATGTAATAGACACATCTGAATCTTGCATGATTTCAGTTAAACTTCTAAGTGCAAGCTGCCTTTTTAAACTAAATTATTACAAGAATGTCCCGAATAGATTCTGAAATCTGTTAGTGGCCTAGCAGCCGAGGTAAGTAGATGATAACATTTATTATCCTTTCTGATTTCTTACTGGCCTTTCATACAAGACAAACAATAAAATAACGGACGACTTGCGCTGCACAGTGACAAAAAACTCATTTACACACACACACACGCAGGGCCGGAGTGGGAGTCATTTTCAGCCCTGGAGTTTCATGCCAGAGCGGCCCACTTTAGTTCACGACTGACCATAGCTATTACAATAATGTAATGACAACTTCAGTATATAAGTCTGCAATAGCGCACTGTTCTCTACAGACTTGTAATTCATTATATTTTTCTACAGCTTTTTATTTTATTTTTTTTTATCATTTTACTGGCCTTTTCAGCGCCGCCTTTGCGCTTTCTATTATACATTTTTTAATCTATTATATTTTGCTCACATATCTCCAACAAAATATTTGTAGGCCTACTGTACCATAATGTCTGCCTGCAGTTAAAAAGTTCTCAGAAATAATCACATTTGTTTTGCTTAACCTATGTTCTAAAAATAATTTGAATGTCATAAAAAAAAGTCATCGGCCTGAATAAATTGTACCATTATAAAATAGTGACTGCGCAAGTAGTGTAGTGATTTAGGAGGTGAAAATACTGTGGAATTACATACATACAAATGGCAAGAAATTTGAAAGCATAACAACTGAACGTCTATTAAACGTCTATGCACTTAAACATTTTTTTAACTAAAATGGCTATTATTGCAACCATATAGCCTATGAATGAATGAAAATGCATATTTTTCAATTAAAGAAAACTTGTGGGCTGCTTCTGGTGCTTGGATTTCTACTTCAATAAAATTAGGTCCAAGTTTAAGAATGCGCTAGAAGTTAAATTTTTAAAAATGTATGTTCCTCTCTATTTAACAGCCCTAACTTACAATAGTGAAAGACGTCTCCCCTCGGGTAGATTAAATGTTTTCCTGCCTTGCTAAATTTTGGGCTCATGATCAATAAATTGCATTCGCCCAAACTGATTTGCCAAAATCAAATCGCGGACGTAAGCGCGAGTCCTGCTCGCTGTGAAACAGGAGCAGCCGGCAGAGTATTCCGCTTGGTCTTAAAGCCTTCATCAAACGGCTACGTTCACAAATAAAACAATATTTTGCGCAAAAATAATGATTAATTATCAATTGAGAATTTGTTATTCATATGGTCTGGTGGTCATATGGCGTAAGCCTGCGAATAACTGTGTTATAGCTTTCATACGGGACGCTTCTTTGATGCCTTAAATACAGGCATCCATATTTCAACCCCATAGCAGTGGCACCGGGAATTTTCCCGGTGCTCCCGATTAGCCAAGCCGGGCCTGCACACACGTTTAGCTTGCAAACTCAACATACCTCCGTTAAAATATGCGTGTGTGTGTGTGTGTGTGTGTGTGTGTGTGTGTGTGTGTGTGTGTGTGTCTTTCAAATGACTTTAAAGCGTTTCTTGAAATTATTTAATCGAACTTAAGTTAAATGCTTGAATTTGCATTTTATTTTATATGCTACACCCCTGATACAGAAATCTTGCAAATTAATGTGCAGTAGGTTAACATTTTATTTTGATGGGTTTATCCTCTGTAGCCAACAATTGATCCTATTAAAACGCATACACACACATAGTGGTAATAAACCATCTCAGTTTAATTTCATAAATTTGTTTTTATAATATATTTTATTATTTATATTATATATCATGTACTAAGTTACATCAAAGGTCTAATAAATTGGACACAGCACCTTAAAATTACAAGCTGCAACTGCATGATTTTGTGTGTACACTGTACAGGTCTTGTACTGTATAAAGGATGTTTTTGCTCAGGGAAGTGAACTGTCTGCCAAATAAAGAGGTTTTGCTTAGAAAGAAAAAGCAATAGAGGTAATATTAAGTTTAATGTGAATTGTAAATTAAGTTATTGTTTAAGTTCAAATTTTTTTTGTATTGTGTACAGTTGATGTCAATCAACAAATATTCATTTTATCAGATTTATTTTGTTCTCTCTTCTTTTGCACTGAGGTTGACAGAGGTTGTCGTTCTGCTAATGAAATTCTCATGTGACACTGTAAAAGTCATCTGCTAAATAGAACATTTACATTTATTTGATGATTTTCGGAACCTTAATTTGAGCCCCAGTCGCAAAAATTAACTTTTAGTTTTTACTTTAGTTTTCATTAACTACACTTCATGTAAGCATCACGTAATCTAAGCTTGCATAAAAAAAAACTATTTTCTGTTTCTTGATTATTGTAGCCTAACAACAAAAACCTCCAGTGAATATAAGAGAATGCTAATGTCATACATGAAGTTTTACCCCACAAGCATGTCCATTGTTTTAAATAGTAAAACAGAGTTTTTAGTCTGTCTTAGCTGTTTTTATGCTTGTGAATGGTTAGGCTTATGCTAAAACATTGATCCTAGGATCTATATTTGAAGAGCTGTTAATTCGGCCTAAAAGCCAGTTCGTCTTCTCTTGCTTTAAGATTGAGTTTGTTTGGATAAGTATGCTTTGATAAAGGTTAGGTTCATCAGGTTAATTTGGAGTCAGACAAAGATACTTGGTATTGTTGCTGTGCACTGATTTTATGGAATCACATGCTTTCCTTGCCTTCTTTTTTCAAGACTTTCATAACCTTAAATGACAACAACCTAAATCTTAAGGCTTGGCCTCTTGTTTTATCTGTCCTCTCTAAAAAGCCATTTTGTGGAAGTGTGGCACAACAATGAAGATGTCTTTTTTTCCTACAAACTAATTGTGTGTAGATTTCTGGATCTGACCCCACCCCCCATCTAACCCTTTGCCCTCTTTCTCACACACTAGCACCCTCATCCTCCCTTTCACCCAGCCCTTTTTTTTTAAAGACACACGCAATGCTTTTAACATAATTCAGCCCATTGTTTGTATCCGAACCAGACCCCCATCCCCCCTGTCAAATAAACAAAGAAGCGAGAGCTGCTGTAGTCCCTAAGCGAGCCAGGTGTTTTCCACTGCCAGCCTGCTCCCTAATGACTAAGGCCTCGTGCTGCAGCTGCCTGCTAAGGCCTCTTTTATGTGGCTCCATTGTTGACCGCGCACCCCTCGTTTATTCATGAACCGCGTGGGGGAAGACCTTTTGGACAGCCACTAGCTTATCCCCACACTCCCTTAGAATATCAACTGTGTGTGTGCATCAGAGAAAGCGAGTGAGAGTGTGTGTCAGTATTTACACTCAATTGTGAGCACTTTGCGCTCTCATTGGTCCACGCACAGCGACTGGCCTATCGGGGAATGGTAGACATTGTAGCTCCATCTGCTCAAGCTCTCATTGTCTTCTGACGGAACACAGTCTACAGCACAGAGTGTCACATCTTCAAACTTTTTGGGTTTTGGGGCCCTTCATCTGCTTGACTGGGTTTGTGCATCCCTACTTGGTTTCTGCTTCTTGGTTTTGAGTTGGAGTGCAACAAGGAAAATATATATTTTGTGCATGGAAGTTAGCCAGTGCTGAACTGAGAAGAGATATTTTAATTAACCGCAAGAACTTTTGGGTTGGATATTCCTGGACTTATGGTAAGTCTGTTTTTTTGTTTGTTTGTTTTTTAAGTGCATTAAGTGTCTATGTAACAGATCTTTTATTTTTCTTATGTAACATTTATTGAAAGCACATATTTCCTCCATGTTGAATGAATATTTCATTTCATGTTTTTTGTTTACTAGTTGTTAGTAGTAACTGTTACTTAAAGTCACTTGCCTTTGCTTGGTTTGTGGGATTCGGAGGCTCTTGTAAGAACAGGTGTCAGAATATCTTAAGGACAGCTGTCATAGAGATTCTGCTGCATATTCGTGCTGATTTCCATTTTATTTGAAAAGGAAAATTAGAAGGACATCAATGCAGAGATCTTGATGTCAGAGAATGGAGTTTTGGCTTGCTTTGCCACTCTTAGGGTTTTGCAAAGGAACTGAAGGCCCTCTCCCTTTACCGTCCCTTTTTAATAACTGGTTTGGTTAATGTATGATGTGCTTCAGGTTATGTGGGACTGAAGGATAGCGGAAGCCATTTCAGAAAGTGTTTTTTATGTGTGAATTTGAAGTGGTCATCAAGAATCCCAGAAGGCGGGTGTTTGCACTTCAGAATTAAGACAAGCTTTCCATGTGTGTCACATGACTCCAGACAGTTAAGAAAATGCAGTGGCTGACTCTTTTGGGTGCTGGAAAAGGAGAATACCACTTTTTGTTCCCCAGTGGCCTCAGTAGACATCTGTTGCCCTGCTGGCAGGCCAACCCCCCCCCAGTCCTCACTTGGCGACGGCCCTCTCTTTTGTCTGCACAAGGCTGAGTAGACGGCATAGACGACGTTCCTCACAACCTCAATAACTTCCAAGGCCCTCCAACACACACACACACACACACACACACACA